ATATCAATATGTTTAAAAAAATGAAAAAGGCGAGAGTGAGGAATTCAACTGATATTAAAGCTAAACTAATTAGCCTATTTCCAAAACAGAAAGAACTGAAATACTATACTATGCAATGACTCGCATGCAGTGAGGTAGCTTAACCAACTCCTCAACGCTAGAAAAAGAAAGGTAGTCAACTAAGGTTGCTATGTTTATTTACTGATGTGATGAGAGCTGTTCCCCAATCCCAACAACAGCACCTGCTGCCATGCCACATGTGCAAGGCAGAAAGTGCAATTTTGGGATTGGGGATCAGATCCAAATTGTGCCATTACTACTTTCCAGTACACGAGGAGCCCCAGATCTTGATCCCTCCGCACTGCCAAGTTGAAAGCTACGTCTGGGACCAACAATCAGCTGATTGTTGGTCCCAACCCTGGGACCATTTCAGAGTCTTGAACTGGCTCCAGTGAAATTCTGGCAGCCAAGGCTGACAATGACCCTATTTTTGGTCCTAGCCTTGGGACCACACCATGGCTGGTGGAGACTCCAATGTGGTCCTGGGGCTGGGGAAGCTATGTATGCAGCATCAATCAAAAAACACAATGGAAGCCAGCCACAACATTATTAGACACATTTTGTAGAATAATTGTGTAGCTGCTTCCACATTCTGTGGCTCTGTTAATTGCCTGAACATATGACTGGGTTACTAGTTAAGGCACAATTAACAGGTTATAGATTTCATAGATTTCATAGACATTAGGGCTAGAAGGGACCTTGGAAGATCATTGAATCCAGCCCCCCACCCAAAGGGCAGGAAGTCACCTGGGGTCATAGGATTTTTTTCGTTTTAGTGAAGCAAGCCTGATATTTGGCTCATCCCAGGTAAAAAAAAAACCCGGCAAACACGAAGTCCCTTCCTATTCTATTAAAATAGGACCTAGAAGTCCCAACTAAGATCTGAGCCTCATTGTGCCATCAGCTGTACCAACATCAGTTGCAAGACAGGCGGCCTCTGTCCAAAGGTCTTAAAATCTAGACTGACCACAGAGAGCGAGCTAGAAGAGAAACTGAGGCACAGCAGCTTGCCCCAAGTCACATCTTAAGTGTAATGTCTGCCATAGACTTAAGTGGAAGCATTTCTTTTCCAGGAAATAACACCTCAGTCCAAAGAATAGTTACAGAAAAGTGCTTAAGCCCATAGTCATGAGCATCAGAAGTCATCTACCCCAGAAAAGCAGAGAGAGAACACAGGCCAAAATCCTGATCTTTTGGCTAAGCCTTCCTATGGATGCATATTTAAACTTTTAGGATGCCTATACATGAGCGCCAAGGCTGCTCTGACATGCTGGAATTCCAGCATGTTGGAGCAGACTCTATTAATCAAGTCAATTGGAGCGTGGCAATTGCCATGCTCTAGCAGCCTCCTGCATCTCATGTATCAGTGCCCTTGCACATAAAAATGGCAGCAGGGGTGCTTGAACTAAAACTCACTGAAAGAGCTTTTGTTCAGGCACCCCTGCTGCCATTTTTAAGTGCACGGATGCTGATATAGAAGACACGGTGGCACTTTAATTAGAGCAGCTAACTCTTAAAGCCGCTCTAATAAAAGCACTGCCCCTCACCTTGCAGCACGTATAAAAGTGCCCTTAGTTTTTAGCAATCATTTATACCACCACCACTAGAAAGAAAGGTGGTAAAATCTAGGACACATACCCAAGACGTACAAGAAAATACTACAGGGCACTTTTAGTAGCTGGGAAACGCACACTAAACCTGACCTTACACCATGTTATCTGCTGTTTATAAGACTTTTATACCTCATAAATACTTCTTATATAGCCATTTTCATCCATAGATCTCAAAGACAATCAGTTTAATTACTGTCATCTAACATGAACAAACTGAGATACCCGAAAGATCTTGTCCACATCACCAAAAGTACCAGTGGCAGAGCCAGCTGTAGAATCCATATTTCCCCAAGTCCAAGTCCAGTGTCTAGTCCATTAGGCCAAATTGACTTGTACAGTACAAATAAAAAGCCTTGTGATGAGCAGCCCTTCACAGCATCATGCAGACAATTTTGCACACAGACTAAAACTGCCAAGTAAAGCAAGAGACAGTTGCCATACTGTGAGATTTCCAAGAAATTCTTTCACGGAACAAGGAGTACTACACATTACAACTATATTAACTGGCATAACTGAATAATAATTCAAAAGTTTATTTTGTGCCTGGTATGGGCATCCTGCTGTGAAGGATTTTTTTTAAACAACTTTGTGATAATAAGTCAACAAAAAAAACATTCCAAATAAATGCCAAATCCTAGTATTAGCTATACTTTGCGTTTTGAAGCACCACACTTAACGAGAATCAGATAAAATGAGGATGGTGTCAATGCCCCAATGAGAACCCATTTCTACCACACTATTCAGAGATACTCCTGAGACATCTTCAATTAATAGGTGCTTGAACATGTCCTGCAACCTCCACTCCAGGACCTGTTTCTGCCAAATCAACCTATCTGTATTGAGAGAAGACAGCTACAGAGTTCTTCATTAAGGAAAACTAAATAAAAGCTCTACGTCTAACTCAGTGCTTTCTTCCATGGTGTACACTTACTGGAGGAAGTGTGATGTTACTTAGTATTTCCCACATAGGCAGTTTTAAGCTTCATCTCTGAAAACTATTTTGCATGGATGAATTTGTGCACTTATGCAGCCTGAATGAAATTAAGGGGCTATGCAGAACAACTTGCAGAAGCAAAAATCTTTAGCAAAGTCTAGAATCAGCAAATTATTCCTGCAACCTAAAACAGTTTGAAGTAATGATCTCTAAAATGTGATTAAAGTATCTTTAAATAAGAAGTGCAACTCATTACTGATATCCGAACAATAGCTGCCCCTACACTTCTGTTTATAGCTATTTTGCAATATGATGATGAAAGGAGGTTACCAGTTTAGAAGAAAAGTAAAATGATTATTTTCAGAATCCATCTGCAAGCTTTTATGCTGCCAATATATTATACACAAAACAGAACGCTAATGCAAAAACAGATAAGTTTCCTGAACAGGAAGCACAATAGCATGCAAGACGTGAGCCAAAAGAATTCCATTTATAAAAGATCCTTGTATCAAATGCCAGAACAAGGAGCTAAATATGCCCTCATCTGTGTTCACGGCCAATGGGCTACAGAACTTAATTTGTAATTGAAACAATGATCTAACAGAAAAGACAAACACTTGCCATACTTGTAAATTATAAATCTGCACACTGGTAAATTCTGTAACCAGAATTAGTTAACAGGAAGCCTGCTTGCTTGTTAGAAACCTTTACAAACTTCAAAAGGCATATATTTCTAGTATGTACAAAACAGAACAAGTCAAAAGACTACAGTACATTCTTCAGTTAATTTTCTCCTCTTATTGTTTCATACTTTTTGTGGATCAGAGAAACAAACGTGGATGCCTACAATTTCAATAGGATCTCTCTGCTTTCAGTCTATTAAGAGACCTCACACAAAGTGAGAAGTTTGTTTTTGTTTCGTTTTTTAAGTAAAACAATGCTGTCTGGCTTTTGTGCAACTTGTGTGCACACGATTCTTTTATGATTTTTTTTCTGAGGGTTTGTAAACTATACAGAAAGATTTATGAAATCAGATACTAAAAGATAAATCGATTGATAAATTATTTTTGTACAATTTAAAAGCCATTTTCCATTGCACTTGTACATGAGATTATTATATATAATAGCTACTTATAGAATCAGTTTCTTAAAAGGCAGTTAAGAGTACTTTTAGATACAATGCCTGCTTCCGAATCAATTTTACTATTTTTACCATGTCTTGCATAACTTTGTTCCCGCATTAAAAAAAGCCACACCCAGAGGGAACTAAGAAATTGACTATACATAATTTTTAATGAAAAAGCACAAAATGAAGAAAGGAAAAACAATCTTTCAATTTATAGAGCTACAGCAGTCAAGATGACACGTTCACTGATTACTGGAAAATCAGCGAGAACATAAATTAATTTTTCTTGGATTGTGTAATTGCATTTAATTGTTCAAATTAGAAACAAATTTATATTCAGGATAAGGCAAGGTAATATATGAAGGGGGATAAAACCCTCTTCATTACCTACTTACAGTGGTTTAAGAGCCCTGCAAGCAGTGATGGTAACAGACCTACAGGTAACAGTGAACTGTGAAATAGGGTAGAAGAAGACCAGTACATTTTACTGGTTCTCCATTTAACACAACAAGAAAAAAAATAAATAAAAGAAGCCCACCAGAAAAATAACATAGCTGGTGGAACAGAACTGTTCTCTTTCCCACTTTTAATTTTTGGTTAAGAAGTTTTCCTCCTCCAGCCCCTCGCCCCCCCAGTCAGGAAGGGGTTTTTTTCTATGCTCTGTGTACCTCACCTCCACAGCCTCGTCCCTTTGGCAATGCGCAAGATTGTCCAAGGAGCGCTGAATCCTACCAGAACCCTCAAGAAAAGTAAAGCAATCCAACAGATATGTACATCTATTGCATACTTAAAGCTTTAACGGTTTTACCCTGGCTTCCCCTATCCACATGAGGCCTGGTTCATTACCCATTCAGTCTGCCACATCATCACGTGGTTTTTCTAGCCAAGGGTGAAGAGCAGCTGTGCAACCATCAGCTGCAGAGAAGCATTGACATCAGGAGTCAGACAAAAAACTAGAATTTTTGGTTCCAAAACAATACTCTTTATTAGACCAGCAGGGAAACTGCAAGAAAACTGTCCTTTTCTGCAAGCTTCTAGGATCAAAGTCCCTTCGTCAGGCTCTGGGAAAAGTACAGATGGTACAAGATGGTAAAAAGCATCATTTTGGAACCAAGAGTTCTAGTTTTTTGTAGGCCAACACGGCTACCAAGTATACCGCTGACATGGAAGATACCAAATTTTAGCCGATTTTGGATTTGAAACATCAGGAGTGGCATTTATAAAGGGCTCACACGCAACTAGTTTACCATCCCAGCCCTACTGCAACCATCCCATCCCCACTGCTCCTGGCCCCGCGGTTACTCAGACGGGAGGCAGGCGCGCCCCAGCATTATATCTCCATCAGACATCAAGTGGTAGCATCAGAAGAATCCATTCACTGAGGCTTTCCGAATAAAGGTAGAGAACGAAACATATAGTTTTCAACCACAAAGACCCTAGGACAGCCACCTCACAAGAGTGTCAACACCACCCGACTGAGCGCACAAAAGACCGCCAGCTGGAAGACGACGACCCTTAGCCGGGTGGGCCTCAAGAACCTCTCGAGGGTGCCGGGAGCGCCGTGAGGGGCGGACACACAATTCACTAGACCAAGCCAGAGGTTTCCACTAGACATTTGCAGCTGGGGTTTCCCCAAGTTCTTTGCAACAGAAGAATGGCTCCGGTCATTTCTATAGGCAAAACGCTCCAGGGTGAACAAGAAGAGGCAGCATTTTCACAGGGGCCTCGGGTCTCTGCAGGGGGCTCCTTGCCTCTGCGAGGGTTGAGCGGCCGGGCTGCGCGGCGGCGAGTGGAAGCGCGGGGCCAACATTAACTCAGGGCCGAGGCTTCCTTGCGGGGCCCCGCATGAAGCCTTCATGAAGCGTTCAAAGCCTTTCCCCGCCCCACAAGCAGCGAGGCCGCTTCCCCCGCCCCGCTCAGCTAGGAGCCGGGCCCTTCCCCGGCCCCCTTCATCCGGCGACCCCCGCGAAGCCCCGCGCGCGGGCCGGGCCCCCGGTCTACGCCGCCCCATCGGCCCCCTCCCGCCGGGGAAGG